AATTCTGTTAATAACAAATTTAAGTAGAAATACAATGGTGACAAAAACATCCACCAGGTGTTAGAAGATGCGTGCACCATATCACTAGATGGCTGGCCTGCAAATACCAATAACCAACTTCTACTGGATTTCATTGCAACGAGAAGAGAAATACTCTAACACTTGAAAACATAAATTAATTCTGGGATGTGGGTGTGAGTGGTGTATACACGCGTGTACATGCATGCCCATGCACACTCCTGGAGGCTAGAGGAGGACCTCTGGTGCCCTGTTCTGTCACTCTCTACCTTATTCCCTTGAGTCAGGGCCTTCACTAAAATTGGAAGCTAGGATGGCAGCAAGCAAGCTCCAATGATCCTCCTGTCTCCACCCACCACAGTGCTGGGGCTACAGGTACACACAGCCATGCCTGGCTTTTTGTGTTGTTCCTATGAATTTGAACTCAGGACTTCATGTGTTAACTGTCAAACCCTGGACCAATGGCTGAGGTGCCTATTTAACATATCAGATTGGACCTGGCCTACAGGTTCTCCCAGCATCCCTCAGTCCCTACCTGTTACATGGCATGGTTGGCATACTCTGCCCTCTACCCTGAACTCTCCAGCCTGGTCTGGGCTGCCCTTCCCCCAGAGGCTCTTCCCTATATAATCCAGATATTATGGTTACCCACCCCTTTTGTACCTTTGGCCTCCAGGCTGCTGCACCTATTTCCCCCTCTCCCACTCCCTTCCCCCGCTTCCCCCACAGCCCAGTTTAGTGTGATTATGTTCCCATACCTAGAAGCAGTCATGCCCTTTTCCTTTTTTTTCATCCACTCGGTAAGCACTCTTACCCACTAAGCCATCACTCTAGCCCCACATCTGTTTGCTTGTTTGTTTGTTTATGGGGAGGGACAGAACCTGAGCTTGTGCTTGTGAAGGTCAGGAGACAACTTTCAAGAATAGTTCTCTGGTGTTGTATGAAAGGAGAGAAGATTAGTATTCCCCTTGACAAGGATGGAAGAGGCCCTTGGGCCTAACATGTATATGGTTAAAACATTACCACCTACTTTGTGGCATCTAACTACTGTTTTAAAAACAACAATATATATGTAAAAAAAGAATAGTTCTCTTTTTCTACCATGTGGGTCCTGGCAATCAAACTTAGGTCATCAGACTTGGTGGCAGGTGCTCTTGACCACTGAGCCATTTGGCCAACCGACTCATATTAACTTTATGGGGTGATGATTCAACAGGTAAGAGTACTTGCCCTGCGAGTATAAGGACCTGAGTTTGAACCAAAAGTTCCCATGTCTAAAAAAATAAAAAAAGTCAAGCATGTGTGCACATGCCTGTAATTTCAAAATTTATGGATAGACAGGCAAATTCTAGGAGTGTGTTGGCTAGCTAGCCTAGTGATGGCAAGCTTCCGACTGAGTCAAGAGACCCCATAGTAAAGCAATAAGGAAAGAGCAACAGACTAAGACAATGCCTTCTTTTCGCCTCTGTAAGCAGGCACATGGTATATATACATACATGCAAAAGAGTCATACACACATAAAAAAAATTAAGGGAGCACCAAAACATGAGCAAGAAGTCAGATGATATTCAGAAGTCAATTTGATCTCAAAATTAGACAACTAATCATATGTTTTGCTTAAGGAATGTGTGAGGTAAATTTACAAATTTATAAATAAGAGATTAAAGTATTATAGGAGATTATTTAAGCTAACCAGAGCAGAGGAAGCCAGCCTTTTACTTGTATATCAAAGAAAGCAAAAACAAATGCTAAGCTACAAAGCTAGACTGAGAAACAACAACAAAATATTGAGTATTTAGAACTCACTGTTGTAAAGGACTGAACGGTGGCCCCCAAGTCAACACCCACACCCTAAGCCTTAGAAGCTGTGCACATTCCCTTTTGAAAAGCTATCTCTGAGGCTGGCAAATGGCTCAGCAAGCAAAGGTGCTTGCTGCTAAGCCTGACAGCCTAAATTCAACCCCTGGGATGTACATGGTGGTAGGCAAGAAGGGACTCGTGAAAGCTGTCCTCTGGTCATGGTACAACCATGGAGCATGTGCACCCACACAGTAAATAAATGCCTTGTTCAGTCGAGAGGATGTAATTAAGAATCTCCAGGAGATCAAAATTATCCTAGATTATCCAGGTGGGCCTACAGATTACAATCCAATGACAAATGTCACCACAATACAAAGGGAGATGGAAATTTGAGACAGAAAAGGGGAAACGACACTATGAGGCAGATATGAAGGGGCCTCTAGTCAAAAGAAAATGGCCAGCATCCAGAAACTGAAAGAGACAAAAATCCTAGAAGGAATGAAATCAACCTAAACCGTGATATCAGACTTCTGGCCTCCAGAGCTGTGAGAATAACCTGACCTGTTTAAGCCACTCAGCTTGAGGTCATCTGCTGTGGTAGCCTTAAGAAGAAATGAACGTTTTACAACGTTAAAAAGACTCCAGGCCAGGCGGTGGTGGCATACGCCTTTAATCCCAGCACTTGGGAAGCAGAGGCAGGTGAATCTCTGTGAGTTTGAGGCCAGCCTGGTTTACAAGAGCTAGTTCCAGGACAGGCTCCAAACATACAGAGAAACTCTGTCTCAAAAAACCAAAAAAACACAACAAAGACTCCAGTTGCTTTCATTTCCTACTTTTTAAGATTAAAAATAATAATGTTAAAGTATGTACACTGAAGGGTGGTGATATGTGCATGTGAGTGCTGGTACCCAAGGGGGTCAGAGGTATCAGACCTCCACCCTGCAGCCAGAGTTACAGGTAGCTGTGAAACAGCCAATAAAGGTTCTGGGAAGCAAATTCGGGCCTACACAGTAGTCCGTTTACCCACCAATGTCTCTCCATTCCTCCAGTCCCTTTACAGTGGATTTTAGATTAGTAAAACGTAAGCATCCCATTACTTACCCTAAAGTTATAAATGGTACAGGGGACACACTGCTCACTTTCAGTAGTGAAAGACTACCAGAACCTGAGCAGCTCTACATGGTGTGGGCAGATGACTCAGTGGGTAAAGCACTTGTCACAAGCATGAGGGCCTAAATTCGGATCCCCACATGAAGCCCGTCATACCACCGTGCAATCCATTGCTCCTTTGCTCCTACCATGAGATGGAAGCAGATACAGGAGAGGATCTGGAAACTCAAAAGCCAGCTGAGCCGGCACACATGGGGAGAGCAAGAGACCTTGACTCAAAGTACAAGGAGAAGCTCAATAGCCAGGGTTGTCCTATGACCTCTATATGCATGCCATGTATCCCCACAATTATGAATATGAATACCTTCGTACATACACACAGATTTTTTAACCTGAAAGGACGCACAAATTATTCAGAATTTTAGCAATGAATATGATCTCAGAAATGAGAATGGGAAAGAACCTATATTTACATAGGACCCAATGTAATAGCCATACAATCTGCTTTTCGACAGCAAAAGAAGCCCCCTCATCCTCATCTTCTCCCTCCTCAAATGGAATTGATTGACAAGAGTTTGGATACAGGCTGGGTGGTGGTAGCACACGCCTCTAATCCCAACACTTAGGAGGCTGAGGCAGGGGGATCTCTGTGGGCTTGAGGACTATAAGGTCTATGTAAAGAGTCTCAGCCCACTGGGACCGCACGGTGAGACCTTGCTTTGTCTTTAAAGCTGGATACTGAGAAGGAGTAGAGGAATACATTTTTTATTTCCCTTAATCTTAGCTTTAAGATTCCCTCCTTCAAACCAGTAACTCCAAAAGCCCTAAAATCGCCCCAACAACATTGGTTGTAGCGCTGGGGCACGTTCCACTCCGCTGTCCTCAAACGCATGTCCTTCCTTCCAATCAATAAACTCGCTAACTCTGCTTCACTCTGACTCATGCCGAATGTCTCTGCAGCAAGAGTATGGACTTGAGCAGAGGTCCCTGAGGCTCTGAGGGGTCTTGCCATGTGCAAGGTCAGCAACTTTAAGGAGCATTCCCAGCTGTCCCAACTGCTACTGAAAATATGCGGAATTAAATGCTTACCCACGATTAAACATACATTCACGTGGCAAACTTAGTAAAGTAAAAGGGAGGGAGGAAGCCATCAGCCTAGAATTCCTGAAAATTCTATATGAAATCCCATTCTAAATGTCAATTGCTCAGAAAACTTGGACGTGGAAAGAAAATTATTCCTAGCCTCTCTTAATTCCCCTCCTCAGACATAATTTCCTACTGGAGCAAACTCAATAAGGGAGCTGCCCCCAACTGCATCCCCTGACACAGAAAGAGCTGCGAAATGGGGGAGGAGGGGAAGAACATAGATGATACAGTTCCATTCTGCCCATTCTGAACATTGGGGAGAGCCCAAACAGCGCTCTTCTCTCAAACTGAAAACTCAAAGGGAAGCAGATTTGGAAGTTTGAGACTTCAACATAACTAAAGTCACGTTAGGAGGGCTTCTCCACTTTTGCTGTTTTCCGAGTTCAACCTCCCCAGGAAAAAGAAACAGTAGCGGGCAGAAAGCAATCTTACATGAGATCAGCCCCACATTGAAGCCCAGGCGAAGCTGGCGGAGAACTGGAGTCACAGTGAGGCTCCTATTGTAACCAATGTATTCATTTCCTCGCCAGGCTCTCGCTTTTCACCCGGGAGGAACGCGAGGCGAGAGGTGTCCTTCAACCGCTGTCACTTCGGTCAGCGTCTAGAGGACTCCCTAATCTAAAAGCCCTCGGAAGTGCAGATGGGGCCAGTCCCACCATCACCACCTCGGACTCCATGCCCTACTTTGCCGGGCACCGAGACGGACAGGAACAGCCGACCGGGGGCGGGGGTGGGGCGCACCCGGGGACACACTCAGCCTTCAGCAGGACCTTCCATAAGGAACCCCAAAGTGAGCACCAGAAACTCCTCCCCCTCCCCACCGCTACCCGCGGCGGGAGGCCGGGTGCTGCGGCACGTGCTTGCTGGGGGGGGAAGGGGGGAAGGGGCGGACGCTGCAAAAGCTGCGCCGTCCGGGCCGGCCTCACCTGGACTCCGGTGTAGTTCTCGAAGAAGAAGAGCACCATGTTCTGGTAGACGCAGTAGAGCTGGTCGTCCACGCGCTGGTACAGGCGAGCGGGCAGCAGCGCCGACAGCACCCGCCACAGCGCCCAGGCCAGCAGGTAGGTGGGCGCCGAGCCCAGCAACACGACGCTCGGGAGCAAGTAGCGCATAGAGTACGTGTGGAGCACCAGGGACAGCAGCATCCTCTCCGCTCGCCGGCCGCCGACTCCGCCTGCCCGGCCCGCGCCGCTGCCAGGACCTCAGCGGCCGCCGGCCGCCCGCCCGCCAATCACCGCGCGGGGGCCGGCCGCGCCGCCGCCCTCCGACCTGGCTCCGCCCCCAGCATGGGCCGCGGGGCCCCGGGACCCGGCGGGGACTGTGGCGGCCCCCGCTCGCCGCCGCCACCGCCGCGGAAAGGGCAGGCCTCGGCTTGCCCGGCGCGCTCGCCTCGGGGCGCTCGGCTCCGTGCGCTCGCTCGGCTCCGCGCGAACCGCGCCTGCCTGTCAGCGGCCGGGCGGCGGGAGGCGGGACCGAGACAATAAGACGCCTCCTGATTGGCCGATGTATGGACGTAACGCGCGCTCTGATGGGTCCGGATCCGTTCTCGTCACTACGCTTGTGGGGCTGCGGATGTTGGCTGTGGATGAATCCCGGAAGAAGGGAAGAAGGTGGGTTAAGGCCTTTGCGGGTTTTCGGCTTCGGTCCAGCCTGAAGAGAGCGGCGTGGGGACATGAGGGTGCTCCCTGCGAGACGCGCGTGAGCCACCCGGGTCGTGGAGCGCAGGAGGAGCTCAGCGCCGCGGGTTACGGGCTGCTGCAGCCCCTTCGTGGACCGGGCGCCACCGATGTCCCCAAGTGCAGAGGAAGCGTCCTTCCCGCCCAGCTGTTGCAGATGAGGCCGGGTCTGTCTCCCGTAGCCGTGGTTCACCTTCCGCAGGACTGTCCCCTCCTTTTATTAGACCCTTCAAACCTCCACTGTTGCTTCACTTTAAATTGTTTAAGCTGCTTGCCCTTGGTTTCTGCTTTTTTTGCCCCAATAGCCTATGTTTCTTCTTTTTTTTTCAATGTGTAGGAAAGTACTTTCCTATACACGTAGAATAAGTTCTGTTCCCACCAAAAACTAGAAAGATTAAAGAGCGGTAAAAACTTATCCAGAGGCCCAGGTTCTTCTGCCCTAACTAGCGGAGACCAGACAACTCTCTACGAGAAGGTTATAGAAGAAAACAAGCCCTGTGCAGATTTAGATCTGTATAAAGTCAATTTTAGATGTGTGTGTGTGTGTTGATTTCTGTGAATGACGCTGAGGTAGTTACTAGCAGTTTTCTTCCTTTCCGATCCTGACCTCTGAATCGTTTTCTCACCTTTTGTCTCTTCCTCTGTGTCTTGCATTTTCTTTCATCCCTTGCCCCAAGTTACTCCCCATCACCTCCGTGATGTGCTTAAGGCAAACAGATGACTGCTGTCATGTGCATACCATGTCAGAAACAGATGGGCATGCGTATGTATGTTTACAATGTCGGGATTTATTCAACTAGAACAAATTCCACAAGTACAGTGGTTTCGCTGGGACCAAAGAGTCCCACTTTACGTGGTAGCCCTGGCTAAGGCCAACCCAGGTTCTTTTATTGCAGGAGTAATTACTAATATTAACTCTCAAATCACACACCACTCAGTTTATCATCTATGTTTATGTTTGTATATATGTCATTATGTAGGGTTATATGACTACCCAGGGTTCAAAGAGGGCAAGGAGTTTAAAAAGCCTTGGGAAGCCAAAGCTGGGAAACTGATAGGGATGCAAGAGTCTCTGCATTGATAACATGTGAGCCACAAACCCAGTGACAGGGAAGAAGCTACTGCGGTTGGGCCACGGATTTGACAAACTGTCCAGTTTACAGATGCAGAGGTGAAGGGACAGAACTTAGTCCAGACAGAGGAACTGTTAGGCAGATGGGCAGCAGATCCAGACTGGCAGACAAGCAGTTGAGTAAACCACATCAAAAGCAGGGACTGAGCCAACCTGAAGGTCCCTGGAAGTTCGGGGTTCTCTGTTGGCCAGTGATATACACATGATAGTTAGATGACCTATTGGTAGGGACATTGGCATCTCAATGTCAGATGTCAGCCTTTGTCAACAGAGACACGGGATTTCCAACACAGTTATGTGCCTGAGGCCCTCTCTTCCCAACCGTAAATTTCCACTTCTAGGAATCTCGCTAGAAATTTCATTTATAGAGAAAAGACACGTATTAAACCCTTTATGTAGCCTTGGTGGCCTTTTCCCTTGTCAGAGTATAATCCTGGCTATCTCTGTAGCCCCAGATTGACACAGCCTAGATGTCTTGATCAGGTTTGTTGTGGTACTGGGAAAATCTCAAAAACACCACACAGACTGAATTAGCAGTTAAAGGTGTTTATTGGGGGATGAGGACATACATGCACACAGCAGACATACAGAGGGAAAAAAAAAAAGACACTACACAGTAAAGCAGAGACTCAGCCAAAACAAAACAAAAAAAAAACAAAACAAAACATAAATCTCTTCTTGGATGGAGATGGTATTTTAAGTCTCTGAAGAGTTTTCCTTTCCTAATTTAAGGCTGATCAGTTTGAAGAAATACAGGATGGTTGATTGGCCAGCCACCGCAGTGTAACACATCATAAAGCCTTGAACTTGGTTGAGCTAATCCATCAGTAGGAGGCCTGCTGTTGTGGGACAAAAGCCAATAAGGCTTTTATTTTTAGCTTCCAGACTTTTGTCTCAAACTAGGAGGGCCAGGAAGAAGCCAGCCATCTTGGAAATTCTCCACCTTTAATATCTAGACATGGTCCTTCTCCTTATCTGTTTACCAGGGAGTCTGTCTAATTCCTAATCTCTCCAGCTATGTCTGTGACACTGTTTCCTCATTCCTGAGACGGTAACTGTGTGTTTGCTCCCACAAGCCTGACACCTTCTGTTATCACTGAGGAACACAGTATTTCAAAGTGGACTCAAGGAAATCCAAGGACAGTTAGGTTTGGAGAGGGAAAAAAGGTAGGCAAACAAGATGTTTTCTGAGTTAGAGGTCAAGGAAACAGGCATTCTTCAGCAATGGAACTGGGGTGGTGTTGCTAGAGAGGGTCTTCAGGAAGCAAGAAACCTGGAGTGTCATGTTGTAGGATATTTTACTCTTGGTTTTTCGAGGGGCCCACTGCCCAGCTCCCAAATAAATCTCACAAGCAGAGGCTTATCCTTAATTTTAAATGTCCGTCCTTAGCTTGGCTTGTTTCTTGCCAACTTTTCTTATATTAAGTTATCCCGTCTACCTTTTCCCTCTGGGGTATCTTTCTTCTGTGTATTTTTCTTTCCTTCTCACTCCGTGGCTGGCCTCTGATGTCCTTCTCTCCTTGTTCTGTTCCTCATCATCCCTCCTCTATTTATGCTCTCTGCCTGCCAGCCCTGCCTATCTTTGCTCCTGCCTTGCCATTGGCCATTCATCTCCTTATTGGGACCATCGGGCATTTTAGCCAGGCACAGTAACACAGCTTCACAGAGTTAAAGAAATGCAGCATAAACAAAAGTCAGACACCTGAAAATAATATTCCCCAACAGTGTCAGAGCAAGCAAGTGTATGAGTTTGGCTGGTATCTAAAGAAGCTAGAGGAAGAGAAAATGTTCTGGTTTCAAGTGGGTAGGCTTGGCAGTGAGGGGCTGTAAAGAGTTGAGGGAAGGACTTATGAGGTGCATGTCCATGTCAGGACATGCTTCGAGATGTACCATGATTTCTTTTCCCCTTCTGGCTTCAAGCTGTCTTTCCCAGATTATAAAACAGATTTTCTGCTCATCACAGGAAGTCTTTGGCTTTGCCTGGCCAAGGGAGGCTCCTGCTGTCTGCATGAGAATGTGTCATCAACCACTGACCACTTACAAAGAGGGTTTAGTGACCTTTAAGATGCTCTTAGTGTCATTACCACACTGGTACTTACATGTCCCAAATGGAGCCAGGGAAGCAGCTGACTGCCAGTGGCCCTTTGATTCCCCTTCTCACTACCTAGAATCCCCTGTCACCAACACTTGAACTTTTTTGAATAATGTTGCCATAGCAACTGTTCTGACTTTCAGAGATGTGTGGTGAAACTGCCTAACTCAGTGAATAGTGTCTAAATATCCCAAGCATAGTGTTTACAGACAATACTTGAGTGCATGGTTTTTTCTGAATGTCTTTCTTACATTTGTTAATTAGCAGTACCAAAATTACCTCATCTTGAAGAAGCTATGAGTTCCTAACTTTGGTACAATATAAGAGAATGTTCACACTATTTGAAAAGGCTACTAAAATGTTCTCTCTCCTTTTTTTTTTTTTTTCCAAATCTGCATCCATATCTGAATGGGGCCAGACTTTATTCTTTGGCTCCAACGAGCTGTTGCAAAATCCTCCACCCTCACTTCAAAGGGAATAAGAGACAATTTATTCTAGAGCCAAATAAGAGTGACCACGGCAGGGAAAACAAATTTGGGTTACTACCAAATAGCATTCTTTAATGTGGTAACCGTTTCCTGATGTTTTTATGGTACTCAAAAAGGAAAGTGGCCAGTTAAGTTATTTTTCAGATAATTTGGTGAATGTATGATGTAGTCAGATTACAGGGAAGTAGGTAAATCTGCGGCAGTCTTCAGATGTTATCTGATGGCATTCATAGCCTTTGAGTTATGGAAACTACAGGTCATGATTGTACATTACAAAAGTATTTACCTAATCATGAGGATGTTAGGTCACACAGGTGGGCAATAAACGGCTATTTAGAGAGCTAAGGATAACTCAAGATAATGGGCTCTGGACCTGCAACATTCCAGTTCCCCACAATTCAAATAACTTCTAATCAGTCAATCAGACTTGTAGAATGTTTCACATAAGTGTGTTCCCCTCCCAGTGTCAGTTCATAACCAAGGAACAACACACCCAGTATCATCTTTTACACCTGGCAGTAGGGAGATTGGCAGAAATAAAGACACAAGCAGAACCATCCTTCTTACTAACTTTTTGCTGTTTTAAAAATATAGTTTATATACATATATATGTGTATATATATGCTATTTAAAGTATAAAAGGTTTATTATTATTTTTAAAAGAATTAATAAATGACATGAAGGAGGAAGCCATTTTGGAGGTCCTCTTGTTTTGGGACAGTCTCACTGAGGCTAGTCTCTCACACCTGAGCTCAAGCAGTCCTCTCACG